AGGCAATTCGATGCCGGCTGCACGTGCCAATCGGTACAGTTGTTCATGTCGCCTGTCAAAACGCACGACATACACCAGTCAGATCGTACCCAAGGGGGAGACATACTGGCCTAATCAACTCGGAGATACCTACCAATCCATGACAGCCAGGACGTCGGGGGAATTGGTCTCACGTAAATGCTCTAGTATGTGTTTCCATAGCCCTATGTCTACCACATGTAACACATCTGGTAGGATACAACCATACGGGTTTCCTCAAGTGGTCCACGAGAAGTTCCACTTCCATAAAAAGCACTGATCATAGAAGGTACATGCGTCAGGGGCCAAACATACGCGTGGTTAGCTATCAACCCTGGTCAACAATAATTCATACGCACCTCCACCCTGTGTGTCCCCTCGGCCTTGCACTCCTTCCGGTCGGCCAACGACTGTCGCTGCCCTTCCGGGTTTCGCATCTCAAACAAGCGATCCATGGCATCTAAGTACTCTTGCGGTACCTTGCACATTGAACACGGCTTGGCCGCCCGATGTTGCATGGTGGCAGTGACTTTACACCCCTCGGGGAAATCACATACATATGCATACAGAAGGGGGTACACAATTTGACTCACCCTGTGTGGATCATTCATAGGGGCTCCCTTGGATCGTAGCCACAACGTTAGATGGTATTGTGTTCAAATCAGTGCAGGAAGAACGCGTGACAATGTTAAACATGGCTCCATAGGAAGTGCAACACCAGATGCTTACGGGTAAGAGGCGTCGATCAAAGGTTCAAATACTATCTCAAGGCATTTGTTGAACAACCGTGTCTTGACCACGGGGAGGAGATCCACGTCACGCAGTGGTAACAAAGCTACCAGCTACCGCGCATTTTCTTTCCAGCGCCGCTTACGTGGTATGTTGGCAACGGAGATCTGCAACGGCCATACTTTTTGCCGTCCGTTATGACTCAGGTGTGTAACATCGCTGCTGGCAATGAGGGCAGCGACAACACCCTCCTTGTTAGGCAGTTTTCTCTGTTAGCAGGGTGCATGAACGCAGTGAGCCACGGCATATCATACGACATGCAAGCAAGTACTGCCCATATCCCTACGATACCTGGCAGTTATGCGCACCTGTGCACGAGACCACCATCGTGCAGTTTCGGGTCGCGAATAGATTTGCTTCTTAGCAGCATTCCATTGCGGGTTTGGTCGCAGCTGGAAGTTCGTGGCGTTCTTGGGGTCACCGAAAAATGTGCGTAGCGCCTGCGCATGTAATCAGGGTGAGAAGTAAGTTATACGCGAACGGGAACTTAAGCGATGAAGCATGGCCGTGCGATGGATTTGCACTGAAGGCACGTACCTCAAGCGTGTCGCAATACTCGAGTTCAATAGGCTCCGCCATGCTTTCGACCTGCACCATCGTTTTCTTCCAAGTCACGTGATGGCGGCCCAAGACTCTCTCCGCGAACTTATCGACATCCCCGGCGCCCTTCCAATCTGCGACCGCCGATGCCTTGAACTGCGGATGGTTTATGGCTTTAGTTTCGTTGCGCGTCATCCCCGCACCATTTCTGAAGGACTTGATAAACCGATACACCTCCCTGCAGGTGTCAAAATCATTAACAAGGTTATCTGCGATAGTAGCCGCTTCAGCAATGTTGATCGCATGGGTCGGGTGACTGTCATGGAGGGTTTGCCGCGGGCCATCATTCCCGAGCTCGACGGTGGCCGCACGTCCCGCATGCGTGCTTTGCGATGGATTCTGTACCGGCAATCTCGGCGCACGCAGTGACACCGCGTTTTCGCATTGAGCCTGCTGCCGCGTATGAAGACCAAAGGTTGTGCTGTTATCAAATGGGCGTTCGCAATTGCCGCAATACACCACGCCAGCGAGAAGCACAGGGGGGATAAGCGAGAATAACAACATGGCGACGTCAGAGCCTCCTTGCGTGTGTCGCGGCGAGTCATCCATGTGGCCTCGCCTTGCCTAAGTCGTCGAAGCACATAGCTAAATAGCACAGGGTGATGGCTAGTTCAGGCTACGAGGTTCGGATGAGCTTTCTAGGGTTGCCACATCTCAGTGTGACGAATAGGTTCCCAAGGCAACCTCGTCTGTAAACTCGTTTGTGAGTATCATTCGATGTTTAGAAACATGCTGGACTTCCTGCCTGAACTTTTGATGAACTACCAAGGGGTTTGATTGGGGTGAGAAAATGGTTGTCACCCTGACGGTTGGAATTTGGGCCGTCGATTTCCGCTATGAGCTGTCGTCGGCCGTCGATAAGAAAGAAACCGTTGGGTTAAAAAAGGATCCGTGTCCCCCGCTGCTCTTATCAACGGTGAGCGTCGATCATTGGGTTGGCACCGACGTGATTGTTCGAGGGGCCACAGTGATGGGTTGAGGGGTGCAATGTGAAGTCAAAATCCCACACACCGTTACCACAGCAACACATTGTATAGTATCGCACTACAACGCTCGGTGATTTCACTATCACTTTCACAATCCAAGCAAGTTCGCTCGCCAATCATACGGTTCGCACGCGAAGCACCAGGCACCTCTTGGTACGTGTACCGTATACTCGTTTGTGCGTTTCATTTTCTAAACGAGAAACATGTTTGTTATTATCGCTTAACAATGGTTAACCATGACTTCTTGATCATGCACATGGTATAGTGATACTTATAAATTCAAAATTAGACGTAAAATCCAAAACGCTGAAGTTAGACAAAGATATCCTACCCACACAAGACCTCCTACCGACAGTACAACATTACAGCATCGAACTCCATGTCTGCAAAAGACCCAACTACCCTGATGAGTTGTCAGAGAGATGCTCATCAACATCATAAACTAACTGTCTAGGCCGCATGGTTTTCCCTGCACCACTTGCAAGGCATCAATTGCTCTGCAAACTTGAAGAAGGCGTCAAAACGCTCATACGTGCAGTGCACCCTGGCTGTTCCGCCCACAGCTCCGGCCCCGTCTGCATCATTGGCGCAACATAGCAACGTACGTGGTGAATATCGCTTACGAGAATCAGAGTAGTCAAAATCCGATGACAAACACACCCATCACATAACCAATGCTGTGTACGTACTGTCGCGTCGTCGAAGCCGGCAGCCACCAAGGTCGCAGTCATCGGGCAAATCGACGCGACCCTTCTTAGGCGTGTCACGTGCCTCTCGAACACGCTTGGGTGGTGCTTCGTCTTCGGGCTCGGTCTCGGCTGGGCGGCGTAGATTAACCCGCGTCGATTTAGTAGGCTTGGGTGCCTGATCCTCTGCCCAAATGGAAGAAACCGCCGTGCCCTTACGACGTGGAACTCCATGGATGCCGAAGAACGCGAACATCGGGTCCTTACTCTCTGGGGAAGCCCATCGATTCTCGTCGTTATTGTTAGGAGTTTCAGCGCGTGCGGTAACAGCATCACCGACGGGTTGGGAGTCCTTGACAGCTGCTGTGTTGATGTTACGTTGGCGCCCTTCCATGGTTGACAGAGAAATAGGCAGAGGTTGATTACTGATGGATAACTAACTACTCCGCAACTCTAGTTTCTGGAAATAGTGAATGACGAATGTCGCAAAGGGAAGGACCCTTACAGCCCCAAATATGATTGAAGCAGGGATTGTCTGTTTTCTTGTCAACCAAATGGTTAGATTTATGACCATGGATTTCCACGAGATGCTGTTGTGAGCCGTCGATAAACAAATCGCGGTTAAGATTGCAAGGATCGTTGTCCCCTGCAGCTCTTATCAACGGCGTACGTTGATCCCCCGGATTGCATCATCGTGATTGGTCGCAGCTTATGAACGAATACAGTGATGGGTTTGTGATAGCCTTGCGAAGTCAAAACCCCACACACCGTTACCAAAGCCAAGTAACGTATCGTAACGCACTGCACCGTACGGTGATTTCTCCAACACTTGCACACTCCGGCAAGTTCGCTCACCCATCATACTTCTCCCATGCGAAACCCCAACCACTCCTGGGTACGCGTAGTTCGCTCTATACAAATACACACTGCTCATTCTAGCCTGAGCATTTCACCTTTCCCGTAACCTAGCCAACGTATTCTCTTCTTGACATGGACACTCAGCAGCTTGATGGTGAGGAGGGCGCAGGACAAGCGGGAAAGCGGCCCTGTCTGCCGAACACCTTATTCCCGTTGTCCGAATGGCAGAGTGGCCTCGCGCGTGGTGCTCGATAGGGTTGCGCTGGGGATACCGGAACGCGGACCCTTAACATGACAGAACGCGAGCACAACGAATGGTTGCGGTATGTGGCGAGGCGAACAAATTCCCATAACAACCAGCACGAGGCCAAGCAGGAAGTCGAATACGGCAAGAGTTCGCGTATTTTTTAACTCTGTCCAACGTACATGGTGTTGCGTCTGCCTTACGACTCCTCTGATGAATATTTGTTACTCGTGGCAGATGACATTGAGCAAGGCGAAGACGAACGGGATTCTGCCATCGGACAGGGTGGAGCGGGTAGCAGGGCAACAGCGGTGACAAATGGTCCACCCCTGAGGCCGAAGCTGGGTGTGGTTAGGAACGGTAAGAGTGCGAGGTTGGCATATGCGCTTTATCAAACATAGTCACATCTATTATTTTCCAGTGCACCTCGTATTAACTTCCGGTTTGTATCCGTGAAGCAGGGAAAGGAAGGAAAGGCGCGCAAGGTAAACCGGTGCAGAAAGGGTTCAGCCAGCAGTCCGTGTGTCAGCCTGCCGAAAACGATGACACTGCTTCAGGTATGCGGCGTATGCAAGTCTATATTTTGGTCGCGTTTTGCTCGCGTTTTTTTTAACTCATTATTTTGACCATCAACGTACGCTTTCCTGTTCGTACAATGGTGCAGGGCGTGTCGGTGATGTCAACAGGCTTAGTGGCAGGGGAGCGTATGTTGATGGTGCGGCCCATACTCCAAGGTCCCTGCGCGACTACGGCTGGGAGGCAGCAGCGGATGATGGTGTCAGTGACGCTGTGAGGGCGCTTCAATCCCAGGTTGGAGACATGAAGCACGCTCTGCTGGAGTCTAACGAGGCCATCAAGGACCTCAGCGCCTTGGTGCAGAAGAGCCTGGACCTGCAGCAGGAGGTGCACGCCACGCTGGCGGCGCTGCATGCCTCGGGGTTGCCCACTGCCCCAGCTGCGCCGAACAATGGGGGTGGCGGCGGCGCCTGTGGAGGCAGTGGTTCCGGCTCCAACGACACGGAGAATGCAACGCACGCCTCAGAGCTGAAGCGCGCGGTTGCAACTATCATGGAGCCAGCGAGACTCTCTGTAAGCACTTGTTAATGATGTTCTGGTTCAGGGTTTCTTACCTCCACATATGACAAGCGCGTCCTATATATCTGCCAGCTATAATTTACTCTACGAATGCCACTTTCCATGTTGTAGTCCCGATATGTGGCAGTGTTTCTGAAGTGCATCACTGAAGGTGATGGTACTGGTGATAAGGGTCTCAGCATGTGGCCGGACCACAAGCTGGTGGTGAAGTGGAGTGCGGCAACGGGCGTTATCTGGGAGAACCAGAAGGAGAGGCTGATGTACTGCCTCAACCACTCGACGGAGCACAGCAACACCTGGTCGGCAGTCACGACTCGCATGCGCGGTGGCATCACCCGCGTGGGCAAGACTGTCCTCTTCCGGTTTTTTGGCATTCCGCGCCATGTGGCGGATATGCCCAAAGAGGTGCCATGGAGGGTGGTCACCTGTACGGTGTATCGCATTCCTCGAACGGCATTCGAGGCGTACCCAATCGGTGAATGTTGGCTGTTTTTCCCTTGCATTCTAGCAAGATCGGTGTGAACGTGTTGGTCCCATTGCAGTTTGCCTAACTCTCCTTGTGCTTATGCAACACCCCACCCTCCCTTGTTCATTATTTCTTTCTCAGCTAGATACTCTATGCCTTGGCACTGCAACGAGGACGGCCTGCCCTTTAGCACCGATGAGTTTGAGATCTTCATAGCTGCTGCCTACTGGCGCCTCCTGCAGCGCAAGGTGCTGCGTATCTACCCGTACACGCTGGCGTTCGCCTTGTATGGGGTGAGTGCTGGGCAGATTCCATGTGTCACCCCTTTACGACCTCATGTTATTACACTAACACTCCCTATTCTCCTCTCTTTTGGTAGGCGGAGTACCCTGTTGTGCACCATGATCGCAACAGGGCTGGACTACCCACCAAGGACACCCCCAACATCCACAACACCGATCGCATGCGCGCGATTGTGGTCAACTGGATGCGGGATGCCATCGTATGCACGTATGGCACTCCCCAGGGGGCGTACCAGTTTAGCGCGGGCACCCACTTCCGTGTGCTCATCGCTTTCCCTCCTCCCGCCGAGGTCAGGGCATTGCCCACAGAGATTGTCGGGCCTGAGATAGGCGATGCTGACGACGAGATCCCTACTGCTCCTGCTGGGCCTGCACAGGCCTAAAGCCATCAAATGCTGTACATCTGAGATCTTATCAGGGGTGGGGTCCTTTTTTGTGGGATATGTAGCACTGGGTCAAATTTTGTGGGCTGTATAGTCAGGGGTTAATTGCCATGTACTCATCATACTAAAAAAAATAGTTGTTCACACAAAAAACAAGTTGCCATGACAAGGGTATACCCTGGACCTCCATGTGGGCAGATGGTAACTACGTAACCTTGCATGTAGATAGGTTAAATGTTACAATGTAACATTGTAACGTTATTCTGCATGGCTAAGGTTAATGATGTAACCCTGATAACAATGTAACCATGCTTTGCGATCCTGTAACTTTGTAAAAGTATAACAGATAACCATTTTGGTGTAACATGTAACAACGTTACCTAGTCCACCATGTTACAGCTACATACATGTCGGTGGTTTGGATGGATTTCACTTAAAGCCACACCGTACATACGATGTGTGGAGTGTGTGGATACATACCGATGTGTACAATGAACATCTGTTCTCCGGAGTTTGTTGTATCAAGGAACGGGCGACGCTACTCGTGACTAAGCTGTTAGATTGTAGCAACCCTCGCGAGGGTAAGTTGGAGCTCACTAAACGCAACGAACCCACATTGCGGTAGGCGATAGGGTAGGGGGGTTGTAAAAAAACCTATAACTACAATGCTTCTGTAGCCTTAGCGCATGCTTAGGTTGTATATAGCAAATATGCGGTGGGTTCTTTGTGGTGTCGCCATGATGTTTTGGGATGTTCAAATCGCCAGGTCGAAATGCTGGCTGCAGTGTTGGGTCACTGCTAGTTTTGGGGTGAGCAAGTGTGTCCACAGTTGTGCAATATCTTCCATAGTAGTACACCCTCATTCTCACCACAATGACAATCGCCACATGAACCGAACACTTGTAGTGACTGCAGCGTGCCTCAAATGGTGCTAGCACATACTCTACAAGCATAATCATGAAGTGCACAGTGCGCTCGCATGTGTGTTTGGCTGCCGTTGCTTTTCGCTCATACCATACGTTAACCCTTTCTACACATGATGCTCACCCCCTGGACGCGAATTTACGCTGCACCGGACGGAAACTCTACACCCGGGTTTTTTCCCCAGCTAGTTGCACGCACGTTACAAGCACGTCGCGTAGTTCTGCACCAATAGTAACGAAAAGACCGAAGTTAAAATGTCAACGGGTAAGTTACAATTATTTTATGAGCACCTGACGAATCTTTTTTTGCTAGTCGCGAATTGACAAAAAATAAGTGAAACACAAGAACAGCTTAAGCGACCCCTTCACGAGGCAACCGGGAATGGCTCAACCCTAGCATCATGTGAAGGTAGCGAACGTAACGATTCTGTTTGTGTTTTGAGCCTGTGTTCGAAATTGTGTGTTTCTTGTGTGTTTTTGAACCACCGTTTAGGACAATTTCAACATATCATATCGCATGTTCTGTTTTGGCGCTTGGCAAAATGTCCACACTGCGGGGAGGCCGAGTTAGTGGACCATGCTCTGTTCTCCTGCCGTGTCATCCAGCCTGCGGTGGGGGGCCTTAAAGATGCGATTCGCTGGTTCAATCCAGCGTGGAGAGCAAGAACACTTGGCGACCTGCTATTCAAGCGTGGGGGACAGCTTCTGGATTTCTAGTGCTGACGGTGTTGGCAATCACATTCCACCAGATTTGGGTGGAGCGCTGCAACGCGGTATTCAGGGGGCGGAAGTTCCAGTGACGGAAGGTGATGAGGAGGATTGTGACGGCTTTCTGTCTACATGCGCGGACGTATGAGGGCATCAAGCGAAGGTGTTGTAAATGACTCTCGTCTACTTTGCAGGAGCTAGGAGTTGTTCTAAACGATAGAGCTTTGTCTTAGCTTTGCAACGAGCCATCACACACGTTGATCGCCTAAGTATTAAGCGAGATATAGACGTTCACGTGTTGGGTGGTGCTCTTGAATGCAAGTATCGAAGCTCTCTGGAATTTCTAGTTCGAATGTACCACGTACAAAGAACTATGGTTTTCACTATATTCCATGCAATATAAAACAAACACATTTATATGAAATGCAAAACGTCGAATCATACATGTAACATCGAACTGCAATACACTCGAATGTTCAAGTAACATTGAATGGGTGAAATTCGACTCTCGAATTTCACCGAATCGAACTCTCCGTGAGTCTCAATTCTTCTTGTGCTGCCATGTGGAACCGAAGTGCAAGTCCTCCGAAGTCAACATGCACCTACTTGACAGCCTCCAACCTTCGTGTAACTTCTAGCTTTCAACCCACTCAACCGTGAGCACTAGAAGTAACCTGTTCGGTGGGTTGGAGGCATACAACTACCACACCACCGCCTTGCTTCCAACACACGCAAGCTCCAACACTCCCCCTTGCATCCAACCCACTAGGTGTGTAATCCATCATGCTCGTAGCATGCATGGGATGGATTTTTAGGGGGTGGTTCCATGAGAGATTCCGCGTGTTCATCATCACCCTTGGTCGCGAAGCAATATGCCACGCCCTCCTTATCCGTCTCCCCAATGACTACCGTAGCATAGTCGGTGTACTTGGAGGGAGGACGAACCTCACGACGCTAGCGGCATGGATTCTTTAAAAAAGAGACGCATGACCAAGCAACATCTGGCCAAGGACGAAGTCGCAGCGTTGGAAAATGCTAGCATGAAGATAGTCAACAGACTTACATGGCGTAACGAATTCCTGTCTATCTAGACTGATCGGAGGGCCAGATTCAAAGCGCGGTGGATGAATACAAGGGGTGGCTCTATCACTGAGTGTAATTGCCCCCCTCCCCGCAACAGTTACGACTGTGGCCCCTTTTGCTGTATCCCTGATATAGTAAAAAGCCTTCCAAAAAAAAATTGTGTGCATGTCGACATTAGGGGGTTCTGCCATATGCACAGTGGCGCTACCTAACAACACTGTAGACGCTGCTCCCGATTGTGCGTAGGCCGAGTATAAGGGTGTACAGCTTCCGAGTCAGAGCAACTGTCCATAGTTCCCCCGACGTTCCCCTCACATTTTGCTCTGCATCCCATAAGGCAGGCTGGTCATTCTCGTTCGTTTTCCAAGCAGCTCAAAATGGTTCATTTTGGTGTGCGATAGTGCAAAATGGTGACAGTCGAAAGCCGTCGAAATGTGGTGGAACTATCAAACTGCGTCATATCTGGTCCGAAGGAACGAACCGCCGCCACACAATCCGGAACCAGTTCATGTGCCTACACGGCCAACTGCACACCGTTTACGGGCAGGCAGAAAGCAAACATGCAAATAAATACATATACAGTTGACACCGCTTACACGGTTTATTGTGAGAGCTCACCCACCAAATCCCATATATTATGAAGTTCCAAGAATTTTCGCAGTCATGTTTGAACTTTGCGTACCACGGATGAATCTCCACCACGCAATAGAGCTCATTTGAAGCCCTTCCACTCACAAATGTACAGGACAGCGGGGATTCTTCTCGTGAGACATGTATAGTTCCCGACATGTTTCCTTCCCATTCTGATCCCAGGCCAAGTCAAGTGCCTTGTCGTGATGCTGAGCAGTACGTGAGACGAATGAACCACTCCGAGAACCATCGCAACAGATCCTTTGTCGACAGGATAACCACCCAATTTTACTTCAATCTCGAGATTGTCTTAAGAGAATCCCTGGGATTCGGTGATCTCCTTTTCCAGCCCAGAGCTAGCTTGCTCGGCCTTTCTGGGATGTCTTCGAGGGTACCGGAACTTTTGCATACTTGGTTCTCCACAACGTGCTCGCAACCTCTCCCTACTCTTTGCCCCGTGTTTAGCCACATCATCCCAAAAACATTCCCCGCGAATATTACCCCAATGTCACATCAGGGTTACCCCGAAGAGTGATACCCCATTGTCGCCAACAGTGATACCCTCGATCGAAGTTCAGTTCGTTGTCACACTAAGGTGACCCCGAGAGGTGACCCTGATGTTACCCACAAGTCACCTACAGGTGACCCCCCGAGTATTTGGGGCCCAGTCCTGTGCGTTCCCGTCACACGCGCTACAAGTTTCCTGCGCGAACTCAAGAATCGAACACACAGAAACACTTTCGATATCATTTCCCTAACAACTCACAACTCAAAATTACATTGTTTACGGTAATGCGGTACTGTGAACTCCGATAAACGGTCAAGCGACAATGTAACATGGAAATAATTTCAAAAAACAAAAAAGGGGGGTTGGTAAGCTTCAATTTGTGATACTACTCCTGGAGAGATTTTGTATCGATTGTGATAATACACTATTGGATTTTTGTAACATTAAATGATCCCATTCTGTTACAGAATAAACAAAAATTGCATATCATGGACCTTTCACTATTGTCACTATGTCCACTGTCAACCACAATAAACTGCATATGGCGCTTTTCCAGCTGGGAGAGATTACTGTACAGACGTTTGCATTAATCCGTACTTATTCATGCATCGATCCTTTGACCTTAGAAACCTACTTAATTGTACCATTGAGGACAAAAATGGCAGGCGTGCACATTTCGCACGGGATTGGGTCATAGATCCTTCATGTTGCCAATGATACACAAGATGGGTGACACATAAAAGAAGTAATGTTTACAGCGGGTAACGATTCAGCAGCAACAAGGGATGTGTAGGTGACCCTTTCAATAGTCCAACCTGCACACAATCGCACACATACGCAGCTGAACAAAGAGGTTATACGGGGCATACTATAGAATGGGGGGTCACAACCATATTACCTGCGAAGACCCAATGACTGGCACATCATCGTTGACCCGGAATACATGTGAAAGGTGAACTGCCTCAGAAATTCACGGCGTTTGGTATGTGAAGCAGCAATCACCGTATTAACGTCCTGAGAGGCAAGTAGTGGGGAGCAGCGGGAGAAGGGAGGAGCAGGGGGAATCCAGGGGAGGAGGGTGAAGCAGGGGGGAGCAGAGGGGGAAAGGGGAAGCAGGAGAACGCAGGGTGAGAAGGGGGAAGCCGGCG